CGTCAAGCCAGTATGTGTCTGTGCCCCTTTCTGCTGTTGCTGCTGCTGCTGCTGCTGCTGCAGGCCGAGCTGCGCGCATCCGAAGCAGCAGCAGAAGGCCAGTTTGCGCAGCGCACAGCAGCACTGAGGGAGACAGCAGCAGCAGCAGAAAAGGAGACGGAACAGCTGCAGCAGCAGCTAGCTGCCTCAGCAGCAAACAGAGAAGCCCTAGCAGTCGAGAGAAACCGCATTCTTAAGCTCAAAGATTCGCTTTCTAAGGGCAAGAAACAGGATTTAGGGTTTAGGGTTTAGGGTTTAGGGTTTGGGGTTTAGGGTTAGGGGTTTAGGGTTTGGAAGTCAAAAGAATGAGTGCTCGGGCTGTGACGCAGAAGCAGCAAGGCTGGAGTGTTCGGCTCTCAGGGTTTAGGGTTTGGGGTTTAGGGCTTAGGGTTTGGGAATTAGGGTTTAGGATTTGTGAATACAGAGTTGGAGCGTTCGAAGGCCTCGAATGACCAAGCAGCTGAAACTATTAGGAAGTAAACCCTAAACCCTAAACCCTAAAACGTAGACCCTAAGCTATCTAGCGTTGTGGAGACCCCAGCGACACACAGAGGCGCAGAAAAAGGGCAGCAGCAGCGGCAACAGCAGCAGCAACAACAGCAGCAACAGCAACACCAACAGCAGCAACAGCAGCAGCAGCAACAGTAGCAGCAAAGCCACCACCGGCACAAGACCCTTGTTTTTCTTTGCAGATTAACTCAGAGCCACCAGCAGCAGCAACAAGAGTGCCGGGAAAAGCAGAGGCAGGTTGAACAGCAGCAGCAGCTGCTGCTGCAGCAGCAGCAACAGCAGCAGCAACAGCAGCAGAAGATCAAAGAGCTGCAGCAGCAGCTGCGAGACATCCATAGACAAAAGGAAGAGACAGAGGAGAGACTCCAAAACGCCGAAGCTGCTGCTGCCAGCTTAAAGCGAGAGAAGCTGCAGCTAGAGGGAGGCATTTTGCTGCTGCAGCAGCAGCAGCAGCAACAGCAGCAGCAGCAACAGCAGTTGCAGCAGCACCACCAACAGCAGCAGCAGCAGATGCAACGGCGCCATCAGCAACAGCTGCAGCAGCTGCAAAGCCAGGTGCAGCAGCAGCAGCAGCAACTCCAACAGAAAGATTTGCTGCTGCAGCAACAGCAGCAGCAGCAGCAGCAGAATGATAAGCACCAGAGAGAACTGCATGCAGCTGCAGAAGACAAGGTTGCAAGGTTTGTTGCTGCTACTGGCGCTGCTGCTGTGACTCGAGTTGCTGCTGCAGCTGCGGCTGCTGTGACTCGAGTTGCTGCTGCAGCTGCTGCTGGGATTCGTATTGCTGCTGCTGCTTCTCTCTGCTGCTGGAGCTAGCACTGCTGCTGTAGTTGCTGGTGCTGCAGTTGCTGCTGTTGCTTTGTGACCTGCAGCTCTTCAACGGCTGATGCTGCTTGCTGTGAGGAAGAGACGGCGAGACTGAAGGTTTGCAAACGAGGGTTTAGGGGTTAGGGTTTAGGGTTTAGGGTTTAGGGCTTATGGGGTGCTACTTAGCGCTGAGAACCAGCTGCTAGGGTTTAGACAGCTGTCAAGGGTTTATGGTTAAGCGTTTGTCCTTGAAGAAGAGTGTCTCGCACCTTTCTCCATCGTTTAGGGTTTAGGGTTTAGGGTTTAGGGTTCAGGGTTTAGGGTTTAGGGTTTGTGGGCAGGCGGAGAACGAAAGCCTAAAGGCGAGGCTGCGGAAGCTGGGGAGGCCCCGGGGGGGCCCCCTAGAGGGGCCCCCAGCAGTTCTTTCTAAACCCTTTGGGCCTCCCCCATTTGCTGCAGCAATTCCCCAGGGGGGCCCCCTTGGGGGGCCCCCCCAGCAGGCCTATTCCCCCTCTGTGGGGCCCCCCCAGGGGCCCCCAGATGACAGTACCCTTTCAGGGGGGCCCCCAGGGGCTCGGCTGCTGCAGAAGAATGAAAGCGACAGCCCTCAAGCAGCAAGGGGCCCCCGGGGGGTCCCCCAGCAGCAAGGGGGGGGCCCACAGCAGCAGCGGGGGGGCCCCCAGCAGCAAGCGGGGGGCCCCCAGCAGCAAGGGGGGGCACCCCAGCAGGGTACTAGGGCCCTGCAGGGGAGACAAAGCCAGCAACAAGATGGGGCCCCCCAGGAAGAAGGGGGCCCCCAGGGTGTGGGGAACCCTCAGCAGCAGCAGGGAGGCCCTCAGCAGCAGGGGGGCCCCCAGGAGGTGGGGGCCCCCCAGCAGCAGAGGGGCCCCCAGGAGGTGGGGGGCCCCCAGGGGGAAGAGGAAGCTGCAGCGAGAAGTGAGGCACAACAGCAGCAGCAGCAGAAGCAGCAGCAAGACGTTCTGCAGCAGAAGCAGGAGCAGCAAGAGGTGCCGCAGCAGAAGCAGCAGCAGCAGCAGCAAGAGGTGCTGCAGCAAAAGCAGCAGCAGGATGAGGACAAGCAGCAAATAGACACTGCTCCTTCTACGGTGTGCGCTGCTGCACCTGAGAGCTGATGGGCCTAGCTGTAGCTAGCTAGCTAGCTAGCTAGCTAGCTGCTTCTGCTGCAGCACCTCTTGTTACTGCTACATAGCTAGCTATGGCTAGCTAGCTAGCTAGCTGGCTACCTAGCTAGCTGCGCTCAGCAGGCTCTCTTTGCCTAGCTGGCTGTGGCTAGCTAGCTAGTGGCTAGCCACAGCGACTTCAGCTAGGTATTTTTTGTCGCCAGCAACACGCCGCTGGGCCCAGCTAGCTAAGCTGGCCCCCGCTAGCTAGCTGCAGCTAGCTATGGCTAGCTAGCTGCAGCTAGCT